TGAGACTCATGTATACTAGACTGGAAATCCTGATTCATCACACCTCCACACAAATCTAATGTGTCCAAGGCCATGTGCTTGCTAATCCGATAGAGGATTGAAGACTTGGAAAGGATTGGATAACTGGAATTTTTGTGTTATTATCTCTCTTCTATTAGTTTCTTCTTATTGTTTATACTATGCATAGAAACATAATTGTATACAGACTCCAATTTGTATTGAAGAGACTCTTATAGGCTTGTTTTGTCTTATTGAGAAAAAAAAATTCCCCAAACAAACGTAAAACCCACATAACACATTCATTTTTGTCAAATGAATATACAATTTTCACATACCCCAGAGCATAGCTTGTTTTGAAAATCTACAGAGTGAATTTTGCAGCATACTGTCACAGCCTTGAAAGTTGCAACCCGAAGTAAAAGTGTAATGTCTATCCAGAGTAATTAATAAAAAGATGAGAGTCATCTGACTTCTAAGTTCTAGCAATTATCTTTCCATCGTAAATTCAAATTACATTAAAAATATAATCCTTCAACTCAGTTATGAGTGACCCATTTTTTTTTTTTTCATGAGTGACCATTCAATTTTTGCCACACTTGAGAGGACGTAATAGATTAATCATCTACGTGACACCACTCTCTAATAAATTAAGTTTTTAGACTATATGATATTCAAAATGGTATCAGAGTTTGCCTTCCTTTCACAAGTTGTTATGAGGAGAGCCGTGCATGACCTCTTAACCCTATATGACACCTCAAACCTAACCAATGTGAAACATTACAATAGGCATGCTTGTAAACTGAAAGAGCAATGTTATTTGCATCTAAAAATTTGATTTTATTTACCGACTTAATTCACTATAGTCTTTAGATTGATTGTTGTTAATTAGACCTTGACAAACTACAAAAATTAATCTATATTTTAATGCCAACGAGTGCTTGATGCTTCAATTTTTATTTTTTTCCTTTGTGTGTTCATAAAAAAATGAATGCTTGAGACTTTGGGTCATATTTACCAGCAAAGGAAGCGAATTTTCAATACTAGATTATTTGTCTCTTCTATTAATTTTTATCTAAAAAAGACAATAGATTCCCGTCCTAACCATAAAAAAGACCAGTGTGTGCTTGTTGCCATCACCACTATAGATAGAGATCCTAAGTCCACAGCTTTTGGTTTGACATTCAAAAAGAGGTAGTGGCAAACCATGCAATGGTGGTGACCACTGGACCAGAATTATTGAAAAGTATCTCAGGTATATCTTTTTTTTTTTTTTTTTTGCTCTTTGGTATCTTCAAAGCACGAATCTGATGGACCCTTCAGTCCCAAAACGACAATCTTGCTGATGTTCTCCATTTTTCCAATGTCAAACCCTTCATCCACCAATCGATCTCTTATCTCTATTTCTGTAACTGTGTTTTTTTTTTTGATGTGGGAAAGGAAATTATGGTAGAGATTGTTACAATGTGATCTGAGCACAGTGACGAGAAGCAAAGAGATAAATGCTAAGATTTGGGCACATGTACAGCTTGGATCGAACAAAAGGGATAAAGAGACCGAACTTGTTAATTTGTGTATAAATATCAGTTCATAATTTTAGTTTAGGCCTCTTGATTCACAAAAAAAGCCAATCTTAATGGTTTTAGTTGATCCGATGATTCCTAAAAATATCAAACGAATTGAGAAAAAGAGAGACAAGTCTCCTCAGTAATATTATTGATCAAAAATTATTTTGCCCTAAGGCCTACATGTATTTATATAATAGTAGAAACCCTAAATTACGTAGGAAAGTAAAATCCTCGTTAAATTAAGAAACAAATTCTAATTGATATAAAAAAATTAAATTAAATAACTTCCTAATTAAATTATAAAATAAATAAAAATCTCCTAGAAATTATCTAATTCAGTTAAATTAAAAAATAATCGGCCCGCTCGAACCACATTTAGCACATTTGCCCGAAATCTCCAATTTTATTCTACATCATAAACCAATGTTTACTCTTTCCCATTCGGTATGAGATTGCATATTTTTTCTCCCACAAGGTCATAACGGTATGAAAAAGGAAATAAATAGGGTTAATGTACAAAATTCGAAACACTATTCTGAGATTAATTTTATATTTTTGAGTTAGTTTAAATTCAATTTATATATGAGCCCAAATTCTAACCATAAAACCTACTATTACCTTGGTTGAAAACCTTATCCGCTGCCACAATTGCTTTTGCCGAAAGTATAGAAGAATTAAATCTCATACAGTGAACGATTTAAACTTTTTAAGCTCTTCTCACATGCATTTTCTGACCATTTGTCAAGTCAGTCTACCCTTTGCTTTAGCCTTTATCTTATGAAAAAAGAACAATTGAGGAATTGTGTATTGTATATGAAAGCTTCCAAAATTAGTCATTTCATTGGTGCATATATACATTAGTTTAGCTTATTTACAAAGCTACTGTAAATTCTATAGTTCACATACATTGTGCCAAATGAACATGATGAGGCAATCACACTCTTTCATGAGATGAACTGGGCACAACAAAAGCCCAACGCCATTACCATGTTAAATCTTCTTGAGGCTTGCTCCATTTCGGCTGATCTGAAAAGATCGAAGTGGGCCCATGGTATTGCACTTCGAAGAGGATGGGCATCAGAAGTAGCAGTTGGAACTGCAATTCTCGATATGTACTCCAAATGTGGGGCAATAGAAGCCTCGAGAAAGGCCTTTGATCAAATTACCCAGAAAAACATCGTGTCTTGGAGTGCCATGATTGCAGCATATGGTGTGAATGGGCTTGCCTGTGATGCTCTAGCTTTGCTTGCCGAAATGAAAGTGCATGGTCTGAAGCCAAATGCGGTAACAACTCTCTCGGTGTTATCTGCATGTAGCCACAGGGGCTTAGTTGAGGAGGGACTTGCTTTCATCAGAGAGTTGGCTCAGGATCAGCTGGTTGATCTGAGGTTAGAGCACTTGTCGTGCATGGTGGACTTACTGGGTCGGGCAGGAAGGCTTGATAGCGCATTGGAGTTGTTAGAGAAGATGCCTGATGGATTGAAGCCTAGTGCCAGCGCCTGGGGGGCACTCTTGAGTGCTTGCAGGAGCTATGGTGACAGCAAGCTTGGTGCAGGAGCTGTTTCTCATGTTGTTGAATTGGAGCCATCAAGCTCTGCAGGGTATTTGCTTGCATCAAATATGCATGCGATGGGGGGGTCATGGGCTGATGCCGCAAGGCTGAGAGGGTTGGCAAAGGAGAGAAGGGTGGGAGTTGTGGCTGGTTACAGTTTGGTGCATGTTAATAATAAAGCATGTCGATTTGTGGCTGGAGATAAGCAAGAGGCATTGTCAGATGAGATATGCCTTTTTATTGAGCAGCTGCACATGTGCATGAAGTTGGAGGAAAAACGATGAAACTGTTTGTGAATTAGTTATTAACACCACATTGGGCCTTATTGTTCAAGTGTCCCCATATACTGACTAATTAGGGAACAAAAAACCTTATTTTAGGACTTCGGATCTGATCAGCTAGCTCAGTAGCTCTCTTGTAGTGAACTAAAGAAAGATGGCATATTGGGACTTGGAGTGGGACGCATACATTTTTATCTTCAATACATATGGTAATTTAGGAGAGATTATATTCAATATATATATATATATATATATATTCAATTCTCTTCTTTGCAGATGGTATATCATACATTTAAGTAAAATCAATGTATACAAATGGTTTTATTTTATCACTCTTTAATGATGAATTATTCACTAAAAATTTGAACGAAAACAGCCAAACAGGTATCTGAACCTAAAAAGATCATACTGGGCCTTGACTTAATAGTCCTTTAGACCTAAGCCTAGACTATTGGACTTTTTTTTAGAGCCACTATAACCTGATGGCGATGGTGAGTCTATCTCCAGGCCATCATCAATTCAATGCAATGGCAGCCAAGTCTGCCAGAAAAATTTCAGTGGAACAAGACATGGAGCTTCCCCAATTTGGTTTCAGCATAACTCACTCTCCGGCCCGCCACTTGATAACCAACCTTCAAATCAAAGAAAGATAATCGACCGCATGGACCAAGCTAAAACGCTGGCCAAAGCTCTTCTCAAGAACTCAAACAACCCAACATTAGCATGGCAACTGTTCAAACGCAGTGTCCCAACTCCCAGTTCCTCCGATCACTTCCGTCAGTCGATACCTCTCATTACCCGTATGCTCCTCCGCGCCAAAATGTTCACCGAAATCGACACCCTCCACCGGATACTCCTCTCACAACCCTTCGAAACTTACCACCAATCCCTGCTCACCGTCGTCCACATCCTAGCGAAATCTGGTCACTTAGATAAGGCCGTTTCTCAATTCCAGTCCTTTCGAACCCAATACCCCGATAAACCTCCTTCTATAGGCTTGTACAATTCGCTTATCGAGTCCTCTCTTCGAGGAAACTCCGCAGTTTATATTTCTTGGTTGTATGAAGATTTGATTTTTGCCGGGCGTTGCTCCAGAAACTTACTCCTTCAATCTTTTGATTGGTGTGCTGTGCGAGTTGGGTCGTGTGGAAGATG